GTACGCCCTCAACCTGCTAACCGATAGCGCTTGCTAACCGTTAGCGTATCCGGATACCGCCAACGGTTAGCGCTAACCGATCGGGCGTTCTCACGCAGTCGCGTCGTAGAACATTAAAAATGTTTAATATTTCTCACGACGGCTTAAGACTGTCCCCGACGATAAATCGGGTCGGGCTGCGTCGGCCGACGCTGTCTGAGTTGGCCTTAATTCGCATAAAAGTTTCTCGATATATACCGTCTCTGGTGACAGCTCTCCAAAATTAGCTAATACTAGGAAAACCTATAATTAGAGACTTGTGGCAAGTCTAACGCCGGTGCTAACGGTTAGTGCTAACGGTTAGCTCCCGATCCGGATACTAGGGCTCTCTTGAGAACCAGGCTAAACAGACATTGGATTTTACTTGTGTAGATACAATAGCGACGTACATGCCTTTAATTTGATTCATGGTAAATGTTTGCGAATTTAACTCTTTTTTCATTCGGATTATTTAACTTTTAATGGAGCCGAAAATTAACCAAAATTTGGGCCAATCTGTGAAAAAATTAGAAAGAAGCTGATTTCAAAAAATTTTGTATTAGGGGTCGAAAGTCATTGACCCCGGTTTAAAATACTAAAAAATGTATCTTTTGAACATTCTATGGTATATTGTTGATCTTGGTGTCAAAATGCACAGAATTTTACAAAAAATAAAAAAAACTAATATTGAAAGCCTTCATAATTATTTCATGAATATGAAAAATTAGGTCAAATGTCAAATTGTCAGTAATTGTATTTTTAGTCACTAAATTGGCATATATCATTTTAAAATATTACAATGAATGTGATTACAACTGACTTGTGTATAAATACATACTAGGATAACACCAAAACAAAGTTAGGTGTATATGAGAGTGGGGAAATTACGTTTTTGATGTTTAAGGTCATTGACCCAATCTAAAACACTAAAATATGTTTCTTGAGAACACTCTATTTTTGTTTCAAAATGCACAGAATAATGCAACAACTAAGAAAATAATATAAAGGACCCTCATAATCAATGCATCACCTCAAAAAATTAGATCAAAGGTCAAAATGTTAGGAATTGATATTGCAAAAATGGCATTCAGTATATGATTTTTTTACTCATCATTTTCAAAGCTGGTTTGAAACAGTTTTGAACATAGAGTATTACATAAGTATATTAATTGAATTTAAAAATAGACAAAAGAGGTCATGGATCATGGAGCTCCCATACCCAAAACCAAAGGGGCACATGCATGAATGAGAATCGGCGATCACAAGGAGCAACAATACCTACCACTTGACACGCTCATTGTCAAAGACTGCAATAGACTTGGTCGCAAGTGTTCAGGTTCCAGTTGTTGTTGTCGCCCAAGACACGGGTATATTAGTTTTACTCTGCTACCATCGGCCAAGCAACTGTTTCAATCTAACGTTGATTGCCTGTACGACATATCTACTATAAACATTGCAAACAGGGAAGAGCTTCTCTTAAAGTACGGCTGGTCTGGAAATGACACCGTTTCCAGCATTTTTGGACATACCAAATGTGCTCTTTACAAATGCAACTACCCTAATAGTGTTATAACAGCATTTACAAGTTTCAAGTCTACTGAATCCACAATCCGAAAAGCTGGAATAAAAGCAATGCAGATAAAATATTGGTGTGGGGATAATCCTCTTGAAAGGGTTCATTATCTGAAGTTTCAGAAGCAAGCAGCTAGTGGCAAAATTGATCCAGATCGATTAACATCAACAGAAAATGCAACAGCACAGCATTCCCTTCGTGTGCATTATCATGTTATAGTTTGGAAACATCTAAACACTTCCATTCTTGAACTCATTGGACGGGGATGGGAGATTGATTCCAATAGGAAACTTGAACCGAAGATGCTTACTTGTGGTGTTGCTCCAGACAGACTTCTAAAAGGAATTTGCTGCAACTGCCAGGAAGGGGAGAGGCAATGCCAAACCATGAGGTGTAGCTGCATTAAAAATGGTATTTATCTGAGTAAATAAATTAAATTAATTAATCCCTTATCCTGGTGGATCATGGAACAGGGGTGCTGTGGGTTTGATGTCACGGACAGTGGTGTCGGCCTGATCATGGTAGGCATTGTTGCCCCTGGTGATCGCTGATTCTCATTCATGCATGTGCCCCTTTGGGTTTTTGGGTATGGGAGCTACATGATCCATGATCTCTTTTGTCTATTTTTAAATTCAATTAATATACAATGTTATTCGTGTTAAGTGTTTATTTACGTTTTGTCAATTAATGCTTGGATGCCCTCGAAAGTGATTAAGTTCACTATATTGGTTTCCCCCTGGTATTAATTTGACTTCTTTTTGTACTGTTTTACTGTTCATTATTATTTGTTGTAAATGTTCGCCTAAAAAAATAAATAAATTTATTAATTAATTAATCTATAGTTACAGTAAATTTTAAGCTGTAATTTCTATTTCTATTCACAATATACTTATCTAATACTCTGTGTTCAATTGTTTAAAACCAGCTTCGAAAATGATGAGTAAAAAAAAATCATATACTAAATGCCATTTTTGTAATATCAATTCCTAACATTTTGACATTTGACCTAATTTTTTGAGGAGATGCATTGGTTATGAGGGTCCTTTTATATTATTTTCTTAGTTTTTGCATTATTCTGTGCATTTTGACACCAAAATGAACCATATATCATAGAGTGTTCCCAAGATACATTTTTTAGTGTTTTAGATTGGGTCAATGAACTTTAACCCCAAAAACGTAATTTCCCCACTCTCCTATACCCCTAACTTTGTTTTAGTGTTATCTTAGTATGTACTCCTACACAAGTCAGTTGAAATCACATTCATTGTAATATTTCTTAATGATATATGCCAGATAAGTGAATAAAAATAGATTTTTTGACATTTTGACCTAATTTTTCAAGGTCATGAATTGATTATGAAGGCTTTCAATATTAGTTGTTTTTTATTTGTTTTATAATTCTGTGCATTTTGACACCAAGATCTACCATATACTATAGAGTGTTCGGGAGATGCATTTTTTAGTATTTTAGACCGGGATTAATGACATTTGACCCCTCATAAAAAATGTTCACCATCCCAAAGCCCACCTAACTTTTTTTTTGGTGTATCCTGGTATATATCCCTACACAAATCAGTTGAAATCCGCTTCTTTCTAATTTTTTCGTTCGGTTGTGTAATACGTTTGAGTCGGATATTGTATAGCAGAAGTGTGCGAGTCCACATAAAACATTCGTGAGTTCTATACTTTAACTTTCTAGTTTTGGTTGTTTTCTACTGAACAGTAAGTTTACTGTTGTTTGAGCGATAGAAAGTGTTTTACACTACACGAATGTTCATACACAACAAAAGGAAGCCCGACCACAAAAATATTTGTTTGACATAAAGCAATAAATGTCCATATTACGCGTGTTCAGCTGATCCGTAAACTGTTTCGATAATGTTTGGCACCAGTACGTGAGTACTTCATTTATTTCAAACAAACAAGGGTTTAAGTTTCAAGGCTCAGTTTATTCAATCATGTACAAAAATACATGAAATGTGTTTTTCTTGGTATAAAGTAAACATAAAATATAAACGCATTCCGTCCAGAAAATATATATCATTCATTAAGTCCTATGTACAGTTATGCAATATCCCACTAGAGCAATCTAACTGCAACACCAAAGATGACATCATCACGATTTCTACACAAAGGAAAAAGAGCTATGTTAATGCATTAAGCGGAGTCGAAAGTGGCGTATATTAACGTCTAAAATGTAATGAAATTAGCATAGAAGATACTTTTTATAACAACGTATACATTTTGAATGAATCATAGATTCACGAGACAAAGGTTGAGTTGATTACATGTCCATTCAGAGTAAATATGAAGAGTTTTGAAAGACCATATTCAGCGCTGACTAAGGCGATCGCTGTTTATTTAGACGTACACATTCTGCTTAAATATTAATGTCACCAAGTCAGTTTGTTGCAATTTCTATATAAAATACTTAAACTATTGGACAAACTTAAATTGCGAATTAAACTTGGCAAAAACTTTATTTGTCGGACTGTGTAAGTCTGAGTTGTTACTAATCTAATATAGGTCTGGAACGTTTTTATCTGAATGGTCCTCATATACATACAAAGAAGTGAGCACTCAAAATCATACTTGACAACTCGTACAATAACTATAATAGTGCTCTAATATTGTGTAACATAGAAATGCTGGAGTGTAGAAAAACAAATTTACTCCCCAATTATGCAAATCTCCAAATTTAAATTTTTTTATACCTCCTCAAATAGACCACTGATATAGTTTGAGAAAGAAAAATCAATTCAAACCAGTACTTTACAAAATTAATAGATAGAGCAATAGTAAAGCCCAAATCCATACTTCATTATTATCTTCAACCAGCAACTTGTACTTAGATTTGCATTATATATTTGATCCTCAATACTAAATAAGCTCAGATTAACCAGTTCATTATAAATCATAGTTTAATTTTTATATCAATGTATTTTTACTGTTATATAACTTTACCAAGAACATTTGAATTTGTATTTGTATTGTTGTTTCGTAAACTTTGTGCAATGTACATAGACCCAGGTCTATTATTTGTAATGTACCATTTGTATTAGCTGCAAAGCTACAATGATGATATTTTGAAATGTAACTTGAACTTGATATATGATATATATGTATAGTTGTAATTTCGATATATGAAATCGATATATGAAGTTATCGATATATGATATATATAACAGAAAGTATTTTATCTATACACTTTGGTAATAATAATAAATTAATAATTATTAATAATTAACCAAATCCAAATCGATTTTCTCTAAAGTGCTTCATAATCTTCACAGATAATCTTTATTGCAGAGAATAGCGTCTTCGGTTATGTTAGACAATTTCACAGGCATGGAACTTAGCACAAAAATGATCTATCAACAAACAGATGTCCTTGTGTTCCACCTAGAAAAACCTTCAGAAGACAAAACGCTTTCCTCCTTATTTAGGGTCGGAAGGAGGCTTCATATTCTTTACAGACCCATTTTTTCAGATGTTGTTCGGCTTTCTTTTCTGCAGTATAAGTATGTATACTACCAATACGACCGCAATTAATTGGACACCACAGCCTATTTGAAAACCGAGACGGTAACTGTTGACAGAGAAACCTGAACAAATATAGAAATAAATTACATTGGTTAGAATCATCATTGATTACCAGAAAAAAAAATAATTTTAAAAAATTCAAAAAATGTATTTTTTTTACAGTAATCAATTTTTATTGGGAGTTAAACAAACGCCAAACCAATAATATACACTGCAAATATTGTGTCATTTATGACTAAAGATATTTTTTAGTATTTATTCGGTTTAGTTACATAAATTCTAGGCTGAGTTTGTAGATTTTTTTTTTTAATCATAAATACCGGTACATCTTCTTACCTACAATTGCTGATGATATCGATCCTACTCCTTCTGCCAACAATATCCAGGAAATTGCGTCATCTATTTCATTTGTTTTTCTAACAAACTTAGTCGCCAAAGTAACATATCCGTGCCATAGCATTCCAAACGCGAATCCGTGAAAAGCTGAGCTGATATAAAATATCAAAAAACTATGTCCAATTGCAAATATAGAAAACGATGTTAATTCGAATAACTGTGCAACTGTAAATATTTTTATTATCAGAGTAACGTCAATATCACCAAATGAAAATAGAAAAAGTCTAATCAAAATGCATGAAATAACTGATGCCAACAAAATCTCACTGGCGTCAATAGGAGAGATGCCTGAGTCCACAGCATATGGAACAAAAAACAACCAAAATGACGTCATAGTAAGGCCTCCGATTATTACAGACAGACACAGTGCTAGCAACTGACGGTTATTGCTGAAGACTTCCAGATGAAGACGTTTCAATGTTTTCTTAAAGAATCCATGAATGTTTTTAAAATGATTTTCTAGGTCAGTTTGATAATCATCTTCAGTATCCTCGGGATCCAACTCAACTTTGCCAACTCTAGGATTCAGCAGGAAGGATGCAACCGTCACATGCAAGTGAGCTGCAGCTACGATAGCAATTGCACCTCTCCAACCATAATCATCCACCAATTTCTGGGAAAATACAATAAACATTACATTTTTTTTATATAATAACAATTGAAATAGTGAACAAACTATTAGAGGTAATGGTATGAAAACCCACCCAAAACATATCATTTATAAAATGGATCAAATACATTTTCAATGCATTGATAATCATGATAAACTAATAAAAAGCTATCGTTGATTTACTGACAATTTGTTATGATAATTCAATACTTTAAGTATCAGCCAAGTTAACATCGTAATATAACTGTATTATTTATCCGTTTAGTTGCTGGCGAGGACATTATTCCTATTTAAATTTTTCTATTTAAAACTCTTTTTTTTAAAACAAAACAGACAGTATATAATTGCTATCATTTTACCAATATGAAAAAGTCATTTAACGATATATGGTTATGATAATTTTCTCAGTTAATAGCGTAACATTTTTATACCGAGTTCGTTCCTAAAATTTATATGGAAATGTAACACGAAACAACACATACAAACAACAGGCTATGGACGATCATATGACATCAACTTTAATCATGTAAACTTTATTAAGATCCAAACAACATTATACCTACAATTCTTTAGTTAACCCAGGACCATCTATTCCACGTGGCGTTATCCCCATCGGACCTCCTTAAGATTCCAGTCATATTCCACAACTCCCATCCCAAGTACAGTAACTGGCTTTTCCCTAGTCTTATATCGGGAACCATTTTCGTTACAATAGTATAAGAAACAAATATGAGGAAATGCAATATGTGTAAGTTGCCACCTAAGCATATGGCATTGTCTAGATATCTTGAATGTGTATGCAATCAATCGTATAGCTGTAGAAAATTTCAATATATAAAAATCTGAATTTCAATATATAGAATTAGACGAGTTAGGCTTATGCAATATTCTCACCTGAATCAATGGAGCTAACCCAGATGCTACAACGC